TTTTTTTTTTGGATAACCCGATTCCTGTTGTTTTTTTTTTTGCAGGACAGCAGCCACCCTGAGACCCTGCTGAACCTGGTGGTGCTGTCCCAGCACCTGGGCAAGGCCCCCGAGGTGAGAGGGGATCTCAGGTGGGATTTGGGGCTTCCTGGGATGGTTCTGGGAGCTCCCAGCTTTAGGAATAAACTTTATTTTATGGGAATAAACTCGGCGTGGAGGAGCCCAGAACAGCAGGAATTGTCCCTGCCCATGGAATGAAACGATCCCAAAGATCCCTCCCACCCCTGTCACTGACAGAAAAACCTGAGCACAACAAACGTTTTGAGTTCTAAGCTCAGCTCTTCTGGTTTTTAACTCAAACTCTGCACTTAGAGCTGATTTTTGAGAGTTTTATTCTTTATTTCCAGTGTGTGCAGGGGTCCTGCTGGTTTGAGCTGGGRCTGGCAGTCAGGGCACTGAGGAAATGGGGATTTGGGGTGTCAGGGAGCCCATGAGGTGGGGTTTGTTACCCTCCATTATCAAAACTGCAATTTCTCACCCCCCAGGTCACCAATCGTTACCTGTCCCAGCTGAAGGAYGCCCACAAAAACCACCCCTTCATCAAGGAGTACCAGGCAAAGGTGGGAATGGAAATTAATMATAGAAATAATCATAGAAATAAATAAAATCAGTGGGGTTTTGCCTCGTTCTGATGGGGCAAACGGATTCTTTACAAACACAGAGGAGCTTCTCCATCTCAGAACATTTTCCCAATCCAATCCCAAGGCAGGAGTTCTGCCCCTGAACCCTGGGCAAGAAAAGCTCTGAGGTTCCTGATCCCACCCCAGGAAAACGGGGAGAGGGGATTTGGGGAAAAATGGATTTATGGGATGGAGTTACTGAATTCCTTCAGCTCTGGGGAGCTGCTCAGGGGCTCCTCAGCTGGAGCAGGGTTAAATGTCAATTTTAGGGTAATTGATCAATAATAATTAACTGATAATGAATTTAATAACTTTTTTTTGTGGCTGTGGTTGCAGGAGAACGACTTTGACCGCCTGGCCCTGCAATATGCACCCAGTGCCTGAGGAGAGGGGGTGGGAACCCTGGGACACCCTGGGGACACTCAGGGACACCCTGGGACACCCCTGGGTGCTGGGACTGACAGAAAATCCACCCTAGACCACAGAAAATCAACCTTGGACCACAAAAAATGCTCCTGGACCCCAGAAAATCCACCCTGGACCCCAGAAAATCCACCCTGGAACACAGAAAATCCACCCTGGACCACGGAAAATACCCCTGGACCCCAGAAAATCCACCCTGCACCCAGGCCTGGCCTCGCTGGTGCTGCCCCTGTGGCAATATCTGAATTTGGGGGGTTTAAGCCCYGCCTAAACCCTGAGCTCTGCCTAAAGCACAGATCCACAGTGTCCCTGAGCCCCTCATGCCCTGAATTTGGGGAATTTCGGGGTTTCCAC